GGCTCGCGTGGTGTCCATCGATTGGAAAAGTTAAAACCGGTTCTTCGGCGCTATTTTATGAAAGAGGAAGCGCACGTTTTAACGTAATGTTAAATCACTCGTCGACAAATAGGGAGTGAAATGAAACGAGCCACGAGTCGTAGATTGAAAGTGTGAAAGGATGTCGATATCCGTGATGCAAGAAGCTAACTTCTCGAGATAAAAGGAAAATTGAAGCACGATTATTAATAGCGTTTGATTATCTACCAAAGTAAAGCGGTATGTGTGATCAACATTTTCGAGAATAATTACTGAAATTAATGACGGAACAATGAAGGCTCTTATAACGCGGGCAAACAAACTTTCTTTCCTGTAAATCTCTAATACCGAGAACAATGGTGTCCGTTGTTTGCCGGCTTTAAGCATGCCGTAGCACGAAACTACAAATCCCCCAATACCGTTCCCGGATAATTATTAAATGAAGCTGTCACTTTCATAACCGTGATTAATGATATTTAATGGAAGCTAATGGACGCGAATTGTACCGTACAATTATTTGATCAAACGAATGTGAGCGATGCGTTTGTTCGGCTTAAATCTGTTTGCCGAGCAACGGATGACATCCCAAACACAAAACGATTCTAAATGACATCGTCGTATAATATTTCGCATTTCATTATGATAACAGATGGGCCGTGAAAAATGTCGAAAGCTAATCTACTTGAAGTCTTTTTTTTTTTGAACAATATTTATACGTTTACAGTTTGCATGTTATATCAATGTATTTCAATTTGTCATACAATCCGTCGACGGGCGTTACAAGATAATTTTCTACAACAATATATTGTTATTTCAAACAAATTTAAAATTTAATATTTTAAAGAGAAAAGTACAAAGGGGTATTTATAATATCTTTGAATAAGTATCTTATTACAATACGTGATAATATTATTTTGTTATGAAATAATGAAATAAAATAATTTTTTCAAATGTGACAAAAAGAGTCATGATAAATATAAATCAAAAGTATAGATTCTGTTATGGAAGGAGAAGAAATTAATAAACCGATGTATAAATCTTGAAAAAATGTGCGTTATCCTCAATAATTCTCGGTCAACGATAAGATAGATTTCTATATCTCTTACGTGTGTTTGTCGGACTCCTCGCTCCATCTAATAAGCGCAGAATGATTTTAGTAGAGCATTCAGTCAGAAAAAAATCAACAAGTCACATTATCGACAAACTAAATAAAAGAAAAAATTGCGTGTAACTAAATCCTTTAGAGCAATTCTTACAATATATTTAAAAACGAAATTTGTTTTATATAAAATACACGCAAAGGTATCGTGTTTTGCAAACTGACGTACATATTACCGGTATTTTTTGATCGTCAAACACATTACTCGACATATCCAACAACTGCTCCGTTTTCAAGATTCCGCTCCATTCTGATTTCTTTAAAATAGCATTATCGTTCGTTGGTTAGCGTTCTGTAATATCAACAATCTGTAAAATAGTTATTCGATATCAAAATGTATGTAAACAGTGCGTGGAATGTGTCAAAATTTAGCACGCACATAATAACTTTTATGACATAATTTAATTGTGCATTTTTGCACTATATTTAAAATAAATTTGTATAGCTTTTCCGACGTGTATTATCTTGTCGTGTAAAATATACTTGTAAAGGACGCTATAAAAATAGATTATATGTCAGCTTCATTAAATATATTTTAACATATTAAATATTAAAAATGAGAGAGAGAGAAAGATTTTCTTTTTTCTTTTATGATGAGTAATATAAAATATTATTGTTAATATTTATTAATTCTTTCTCTTTCTTTTTCTCTTGCTCTTTGTGCATGTGTGTATTATAACTTAATTTATTTTCTGTTATCTCGTAAAAAAATTTGGTATTTATAATATAAGATATTTAATTTAATTATTTAACTCTTTTAATATTAATTACAAACATTAAATCTAATATTGCTTAGTCCTCTTGGCTGTTTATTCAGGCGAACATTTTCTCGTGTTTATGTACGAATATTCGAAATCATTTTAAATCCGTTAAACCCATATAGAGACCCTATTATCTAACTATGTAAACATGTTTCTTAAATTTCGATTGCATCTGACACGACACGTGTAATAAAGTATAACCGGTTTGATGTAACATTCCTCTTTGATATGAAGTGGATTCCGACTGGATGGTCCATTTGGATGGAAATCTGAATGTTTATATTTTACAAACGCGTTATCGAATCGTCAATCTCGCGCGTGTAGACGTGTATCAATACCGTTTGGTCCTCTCGAGAATGTCATTAATGTCACTTTCTGCGACTCAGTCTGTGTATATCTGTATTGCTCGTTATTTGCGTACACGCACATTCGTCGAGCCTGGCACGTCAACGAGAGGATCGTACGTGAGTAGTAAAGTGGCATAGCGAGTACTTATCACGCATCGTTGAGCTCCGACTTATCCGACTGTGACGTCGAATTGGAGAGGAACGTTATCTCGCTTATCGGCCGCGCTTCTACGCTTCCATGAGCGCGTAGCCGCGCGACCTTTAAAAAAATGCCAGCGAGAGGAACACTCGAACCGTAAATGAATAATGACAGCTCATTGCGTGAGTGGCGTCGCTATAAATTTTCGACGTATCGGAAAACTTCCTTCATCGACAGCGATTCCTAGCATTCGTATAAATTTCTTCAAATTTTCTTCTGCATTCGTCTCTTCGTGTCAGATATGTTGCGCGGATGATTTTGGTATATTTTGGCTATTGTAAAATACATTTGCTTAGAATCGATTGGAACGATTCAAATTCTTCCAGAGAGATTCAATTAAATTCATTTAAGATTTTTTTATACATCATTTCACACATCATTTTATACTTCATTTAAGATTTTTTTATACATGTCAAAAAAAGCGCGAGCGCTGTAGTTATTTTGATCGAGACACAATAAGATATGATTATAATTCATGAGATGTGACATGTGAAATTTTGCAGAAACATCACTGTCATCCATGACCATGATGACAAACTTGTCGAAACATGTACATGCAAAAGGAATAAAGATTAAGATAAAAAAATTTTTGAAACATATAAAGTAAGAAATGCGGTTTTTAATTCATTAACATGTGACAGTTTGCTGAATATCCGAACAAGTGTCCAGTGAACGACGCGATAAATATGTATTCGCAATTTATGAACAGGCAAAATTTCTTTTCTTTCAAATGTATACAATATTCTTACACAACATTTAGTTGTAACGTAATTTTCTCTTTGAGAGAAGCAGCTTTTATTCCCACTCATGTAGCGATAGAAAGTAGCAAAAGATTGCGGTAATGAAACACTTGAAACAGTTGTCACTATGTCATTCTAAGGCCTTTTCATTATTTACAAAGACTACAATGATGTTGGACGTATTACGTAATAAATGGCCGTTACGTACATCCGCAACGCAATTGAATGTAATTTTCCGAAATTATAGCGGATAATGACAAAGATGAAGATGAGACAAAGACGAAAAATACGGTTTATGCGTGAGAAGAAAAAGCGGAAAAAGAGATTTGAAGTACGAAACGAGTTCCCCATTTAGAGTTTAAAGTTATTTCTCAAAGTTTCACAGTCATTGTTATGATTCGACGTCGACCGAAACAAGATTGTAATGTAAAAATAATAGAATAAGTGAAAGCTAATTCTAAGATCAATCGACGCGATCGGAACAAGCATCTGTGGAACATATGTATTGGAAGACAAGATAATGAGCAAAGTACAAATCAAAGTGAGAACGAACACCGAGACTGTTCTCGATTGCATTATACGAACGATGTCTAATCGATCGAACAACACTTTCCTCGGTGATTAATGGGGGATATGCAATTTGTAATCTTCTCCGAAGATATATATATGGCAATTTTTCGCACTTTCAGTTGTTTAATGGCAAACAGGCATATGTGATGAGAATATTAATTTTTAATCGGAAACTTTCGATCATTCGATTTTTAATTATAACCATCTCATAAAACGAAAGGAGATACAATTAACCGGCAAAACTGTACACGTATAAAAACTGCAGATTTTTGATAATAATTTTAAAAATATATATAGTCTTAGATTTTATATAAATTTTCCCTCTATATAAAAATATAAAAAGGTTTGAATTATAGAAAAAATTTTTTTAATTGGCGATAAAATCTAAATATGAGAATTCTTTGTATTGAAAAGAATTCAAATTTATTAACATTAGATTTATAGAATTAAATTTATGAGCAAAATTAGTAATAATATGAATATATATCCATAATTAACATTTAAAAAAGTCAATAAAAACTGCTAGGAAATAACAGTAATTTCTGTAATTTTGCTCAAGAAATTCGAAACCCGTCAAATTGACGGGTTCTATAAATCTAGTGTTAATTAACTCGAAAAATTAAGAAAAAATAGAACCATTGACTATTATATTTATTAAGTAAATTGATAACATAAACATAAAAGAACGAATAATTAATTTAATAATTCAATAATTACAATAAACAAAATTTATCGAAATGTTTCTGAAAATTAAGCGAAAAGAGATTATTAATATATACAGTTCAAAATTCTGCAAATAATTATTGAGACTCAAAACAGTTCAGGAGGGAAAAAGAAAGAATTTTACGACTTTAAGCAATAAAAATACAGGGAAAAATTTGTCTAAAAAAATTGAGAAAAAAATGATTAAAAATAATGGAATAAAAAAATAGTTGTTTAAACAAAATTAAAATTAAAAATCAAAATCAAAATTAAAATTAAAAATCAAAAAGATCCTCAGGTAATAGAGCTAATTACGCGAACGTTCTTAGCGGACTACTCGATCGGACACGACGGTTGTCCGATTACGGAGCGCGAGGGGAGAACGTACGTGAGGAAGGATCGAACGTGTTCCGGAAGAGAGAAGAAGCGCGGCGCGGACGAAGACCTACGATAGAACGGAATGGAGAGGGATGCCAACGCGGTTTCCTTCGAACACGGCCGGCGTCACGTTGAAGACGCCGCGCGCTCGTGCTCCGGTTGATACTGTTTCACGGCACATTTTACAGTCAGCTGGTCGCCAAGTAACGCAGTGAACACACGGTGATCTAGCCAATTTTATAACGCGATCGTTCTCTGTGCTTGACACGGCGATAGGCTAGATACAGTTCGATCGACTGTCATCGCGACGATTCCCTTGCGTGTACTCTCATCGTGACAGCTCCTATCTTCTTCCTGTTGCAGGTTTTATCACCGGAACACGTGAGTAATATTCAGTAATTCAGGAAATCATGATGGCTTTCCAAGTTTCAATCGTTGCTCAGAGATTCGCGCAATGTATGATATTGAAGTAAATTTTAAATATTTTTTTATTATAATATTTAATATTTAATATTTTTTATTAAAATAATATAGCGCGTGTAATATATGTATTAAATATTCAAATAACACATCCGCGATTATTCGAGGCAATATTTCTGCATAACGAATAAAAGTGAAGATAATAACAATGATTTTTATGCAAAATTGATAATATAATAATGGAAATTATATGCAGTAATAAACAACACTTGCTATATTGTGATGTTGGTAATTATTGCATGTATAAATTCAGCTATTCAAACATGTAGGAACGTATACATACGTACGATACATACGTATACATACGTATATGTAAATATAAAGGTGCGTACATATCGCGCGTTGTAGATATATACTCGTTTTAATTATACACTTATTACACTAGTGACTTATTTTTCTTTGAATAAAAGTTTCGAAGCATTTGGGGTAATTGAAAGTATATCTACGTGAAAATTTTCTAAAGTGATAGAGTAATGATTTGCAATTGGCGAATGCTTTTCAAATACTACATAAATGTTTCTAATATTGAAATTTATAAATATTGCGCACGAAAAGACAAGATTAATGAGCAAAATTGACGTTAATTATCACATCTTAATCCTCAAGCATTAAACAACGTCCATAAACAACAAACATGCATGTTATAAATAAGAGCTGGTTATTAAATTTAAGAAAAATCATGTTACCTAGGCTACTAATTATCTCGAATCAGCGTGTACATCGTCTATTTTCAATAACGCTGATTATATCGCGATACACATACTACGCGATCGCTGCTGAATTATGCATGAGTACATTTTTTTATTCTACATTATTCGCTCCACCTTACTTTACGCGTTTCAATGTAACAGTTTATATACAATTACAAAAGATTCAAATATTCTGTATCAAATAATATGCGAGAAGCAATTGTTTTTAAAGACTATAAATAAATTTTTAAAAAATATTCATGTGCATTTTGCCAAGTGATGTTAAGGTGTGCTATACTTCCAAATATACACATCCTAATCAATTGCAAATTTTATGCAATTATGGGTAACGCGGTTCAGATGACGTCAGCCTTGTTCAAGGAAAAAGAATGTCATTGCTTCGCTTAGCCTTATCGGGAAAGGGCAGTACAAGTATCGTCGTCATTTCCATCAGCGATACTGATTAATGATAAATGAATCACGAGGACTTATCTTGGCGCCGATAAGACGGCGAAAGCACTTTTGCGAAAAACACTTGAACTTATTTTTGTACTTGTTGCTCCTCGTTTATCGAGAAACAGTGAGTTGCAAATTCACGGAGAAATCGGGTGTCCTCTTTTCCTTTTGGAGTGTCCTCTAAGCGGGGCGTGTGCTCGCACCTTGAACTCGACACGCAAGAAAGGCAGATCATGGGCACACTTTTCGGGAGCGATCGTTCGAAAGGCATCGATGCCGAAAACTTTCTCGGCAAGTTGCCGTATATAGGTACGTCGATACGCCACGGAGAGATGTTAATAACCGATCCGAGAGAGGAAGAGAGAGAGAGAACCAGTTATGCGAACGGTGGTCACGCGAGTCCCATGAATCACAAGAGACAATCTTCCGTCACATACCGGTAGGAAACGATATATGTTTCTTGAGTTCGTCTGCCGATCAGTCTGCGTCCTCTCTTACTTATTACACGATTCCCTCTAAAGCTGAACTTGCGTTTATGCAGATTTCTTGCCTAGGTTTATTTCCTATTATAGGATATATTCTGCTCCAATCGTTTACAGTTTTAATTAAACATTCCCCGACCTCAATATGCACGTCGTTTCGATCGCGCTCTTTCAAATGAGATGGGTTTAATTAGGATTTAGCATAGCGTTGTCGCGAAAACTTTCATGACTGTCGCGATATTGCACGCATATAATCGAGATTGTGGAGCACATAGATAATTAAATGAAGCGAGCGAAGCGCGTACTTCACCAAACACATCCGCGCACCGGTAACACGGCTAATCAAATATCTGTTACATGCGAGTTATGTGAACAACTTTCGAGGAAGCAATATCTTCCTAGTACTTCTAGTCTGTAATCATCATCATATATATGAAATATGTATATATATTAATTACAGCTTTTTCGATAATAGAGATAAAGATAATTTAATATTCGAAAAATTAAATTTCTCACACGTCTCATCGGTTCGTATTACTTGTAATTTATAACCATCTTGATTATCATAAAAAAGGAAGAGAAACATATAAATATGTAAAAGCGTATAATATTGATTAACTTTTAAAGAGTTTCTGAAAGAAACTCAATTAACCAAATTCACCAATTTCGCATAAATTGATGAAATTGATGAATCGATGAAATTTTTTATCGCTCGCACTCTTGACGCACAGTAGTTATTTTTTTCAACCTGACGACACGAGATTCTACCATGGGAAGGAAATCTACGTGTTCATTACAATTACAAGGAAATGATTGCGTCAGAAAAAGTATGGATAAAAACGTGATTTGATCGTTTTAGCAATGGAAGATGATTTTCGTCAGATAATGAGGAATAATCATCCCCATGCTCTTGTCTCATTTCCGTCGTCCTTGTCGTCGATTTTTTTTTTCATTTTTATCTCTTTTGTAATTTTCACTTTAATGTTCGATTCCGTACAAAAACTTCCGTGTGGGATTTTTTATTACTTTCTCTATAATCATTACGAGATAAAGACAGACAGAGAGAGAGAAGGAGAAAAAAGGAGCATAGATGCAACGTAAAAATAATAGAGTCAGTACGGTACAATGTAACAACGGATACTGTTACATGACTATTTTTCTCGCGCATCGCTGCACTCGGGAAGTGCATTTCCATTTCCTCGGCAAGATCGATTTCGCTACCGGAATCTCGGCAACAATAATCTCGTAATTGCAATTCACGTATTACGCAAAAAATATGCCATAATAAATTAAAAGAATCCGAGAAATAAAAAATGTAACGATATTAAATTTTTATATGAGAAAAACATCTTAATAATTCTTAAACGTGCGCAAAATCACACGCAAAAAACGCAAAAAACCTTCCCTGTGTGGAAAAAAATCTGTTATTTTTTTATAATACTCAATGTAAATAAAAATTTGCATTCGTGTTGCCGAAACCGTTAAACTCATCTGCAACATAAATTCATTCGTCGTATCACGTTTGCGATGTCGTCAAATCAATTAAGAGTTTTAGAGAAAAATCTGTTTTTTAATCGTTTGCTAAAATAGCGACACGCTATTTTAACAAACGATTAAAAAAAAGAGAGAACAACGCGGGAAAAGAAGATGAAGCCAATAATCTGTGACGTGACCGTTCGGCTCTGAATCTTCTTGATTGTCGCGTTTGACTTTCTTCTAAAACTAATTACCCTTTCGTCCCTCTCGCCGACTTGCCGTTTTTTCCACGACGGAAACGTCCTTTTCCTTGTCGCTGGCTGTCTTAATTTACCTCATAGTGTGCCAAGCGAGAGTCACTTTTTAGCGCCAAAATGATATGGCACGCAATCGTTTACGGTGCAACCGAGCTCCATCATCACGTAAATCCATCCATTTTGCGAGGGAGTTGTGTACGATAAATTATTTTTCTTTTAAATGTTATTTTATTTATGAAAAGAAAAATATGATAAAAATTCAAAGAATCAACTTTGGAATCGCTAAAAACGACCCATTCTTTCCCAAGCTCACTTTACAAGATACACCTTACTTCGGATGTAAAATGTATACGCATCTTTTTCTCTCTCTATGACAATTATCCTTATTCCCACGTCGCGATATATGAATGGAATAAAATCCACGTATTGTTTTGCACGAGATACAATCAAGGGACATCGTGAATGTTGCTAAAAAATGTGATAAAAAGCAATATCGGATTACAATGTTGATGAGAGAGAGAGAGAGAGGAGTAAATTTTTTCTTCTTTTATATTCTAGTGTTTCGGGGAAATATTTCAATGCCGATTACATTTTCGTATCTTGATGTTGCATGTTCCTTCCCTTTGAAGCAAGATTCTTGTACGTAGGCAGCGTAGCTTTATGTCGCAAATACTGCAACTTCATTTGCATACAAAGAAGCTAGATTACGCGTACCGTGTTTTGGCTGATTAAAAAGGCGAGTACACCTTCACGGTACGCCATGTACCGTGTTGCACAACGTTCTCGTCTTTTGTGGCGCAAAACAAAAGTCTTTTTCGTCGCGAATTTCTTGCAATTCGATTTTCTTACGGAGGCTTCAACAATGACGGACGCATAGTTAAATAGAGCGGATACTTCGTGGTTCGTTTGAAAATTTCGATCGTTAAAAGAAACTGCGCTCATCTATCTTACCATTCACCTCCTTTTGCAGATTTTCCCGGCAATGGCTCGTTGAATAAGTACTATAAGGCGTTTTAGACGATCTAATTTCTACGCAAACTAAACAAAAACAAAAAAAAATTTGCATTTCTCAATCTAACGTTTCGAATAAATAATTTCGAGAGATCGGTCCGAAATGTTTTCTCGAGTTACTTAGTCGAGAAACGCTCCAATACTCGATATCGCGAAAGATTATCGAGGAATCGCTAAAATCCCAGACTTTTACGGAAACGGTAAAATTTGCACGCGGGATTTTTGTCCCTCCAAAAATCTATAATAATCGAACGATCGAATTTCTCGTCTCGCAACGATAACTCATTGAAATGAAAGCTGAAAGCCCACAAGTTCTTGCATGACCATATCGCCCGTTTACTTTCTATGCAGCCGTTGCATGAAGAATATCAAATCAATGTGTGCTCTTATTAGATGTGATACATTATTTATTTCGTACATTTTCATGAAATTTAACGGATTTCGTGGCGCAAAGTCTGCCTCGAGTCCTCTTTTCCGAGAACTCAAAACGCACGAGCGCCGACACACTTTTCGCGATCGCGATTTCCATGATACCTCATCTCTATTTTATTCTATACAATTAACATACGTGCATCCCGGAACACTGTTTTCACGCAGCATTCCCGGCACTGCCCTGCGTACAATATTACGCAGAAGCGCAAGCGTATATAGTCATTGATGGCACGCATTGTACCGTTACGTCGTCACGCTGAGAGGATTAAACCAGCGGAACCACCGCGGCTCCTAGCTACGTATGTACCATAATCGGGAAAAGCTCCCGTCCTTTTACGCTCCCAACAGTTTGACATACGACCGTGCTAAAAGCAAACCTGCGCGAAATTGCGGCATGAGTAAAAATTCGTCTTCCCTCCCTCCCTCCCTCTCTCTCTCTCTCTCTCTCGATTTTCTTCTTGATTCGTTTCCAAGCGATTTATCAAGACATTAATACAAATTACGAAAGCGGAACTACGAGTACTTAACCCATTCAACGTGTTTCATTTTTTTATCTCTTTTATATCAACAATGATATATGAAATAATCTGAAATTTTTTGCATATAAATAGTTCAATGTAAAGTTCTTACCGAAAGTTGACGGCCGATGAACCCTTGCGGAAAAAAGCATCGTGATCGATTTAGTTTCTCCGTGCAATGATTTGAAACACAATAGATAACTTGTAGAGCGAAAAAGAAATTGATCGCTATACTTTGTGTATAAATCGCAACGCAAAAAGTGTCGTCTCTGCAACACGCTTTTTACTTTCGAACAATTATTACAACAGAGACAAACGCATCGTTTTCGCAGAGCCTTCCAGAGATATGATAGTAAGAGATTGTTACGCTTTTCCATTCACAGTCTCATTCCGCATTAATATGCTACAATGTTTCTGTAAAAAAAAAAGAAATGTTCGTGTTGGATGATAATCTCATCGATATCGCATATTTAGAAATTTTTACATGTTTGAAAAAAGTTTAAATTAAGTTTATATTTAAAAATACATCTCTGCTCTGAAGATAAGATCAAATTGTAATATTCTACGCAATTTCTTACTCAAAATACATCAAAAATACATCAAAAGTGGATATATTCATCAATATTGATTATTTTCAGCTACTTTTTGCTGGGATTGTACATGAAAAAACATTCTTAATTAATATATTTAAAATATTCAAAATTTGATGGAATACAATGTACAATGAGGAAGCAGCCAAAAAGAGAACAATAATAAAATTTTCACACAGATAACAAAAGGAAATTATAATTCTAGCGTTAATCAAGTATTGTTCAAGGCAGCAGGGCATTGTGTAGGTGAACCCTTAACCCGATTTCATGTCGGGTTTCCTCGCTCTAATACTCCTGATGAGCACGTGATCGGAGACATACGTGATTATTACTTATTGCTGAACAATTGGTACCTTTGTCGAAGGTATCGAACCGTAAAATCGAACGCGACCGTGTATTTTCGCGGTGAAATGTCTCATAGACATTCAATCTTTGTTCGACGATAATCATCTTTTACCATCATAAAGACAATGCTTTTGTAGAAATTGCGGTAAAATGTCTGCAGCCGAAGAGTATCCATTTGTGAAACAGATAGATGAAGAAACACTGCTAAAGAACGAGTCATATTCTAAACTTATCATGACTGATCACCATCAATTACAAAACTGCCAGCATGACTAAATACATTTTATCCTTTGAGAATACTGTTTCTTATTCTATTCTTATTTTTTCTTTTACGGGAAAGTAGATGAGTTTGGTTTTTTTGCAAACAAGTCTTATAGAAATAAGAGAATCTTAGGATATTGATGCTTGAGAAACAACGTGTTTATGCGATTCGTAAAAACGTCAACATGAATAATATCATGTAATTTAACTTTTCTTAAAAATATTAATCTCTGAACAAAAACCAAATATTAAATTTTCCGCAAATGAATAAATTGTTTTATCAATCTTTCTTAAAACATGTACATAAGTTGAAGAGTAATTTAGTTGAAGGAATAATAATTATTGGCAATAATCGAAATAACTATTAAATTTCACTACTTTCACTTTAAATGTTACCGTCTACGATGTTATATATTCCATCATTACAATTCATCGTAGCCTATTGTTTTACGATTTTCGATATTAGAGATAAGATATTAAATAGCTCTCTACTCTAACAAGCCTGTTATTATTCTATTTCGAAGAATATCACTGTGATTATAAATCAATTTAATAAATTAAGATTTCCCGATCATCATAATAATCAGTGATGCGGAAGATTAAGCTTTATTAATTCGATTCGGACGATGCGATATATCATGTTCCTTAACGCGATAAACGCATGTTTGTGGTTGCGCGCATTATTTTTAGTGCTAGGCACCTGAACGAGTTTCCACGAGCGTCAACTTTTGCGTGTAAACCGTTGTTACGGTATACGTATTTATCTCACAAAGTTCCAGTGCAATCATATAATTACATGCGCAGATTCACGCACGTGCAAGCAATTAATAAATACGCCATTGACACGATTCCCATCATTTTACCGGCTAATTGTGTACACACACATATATATTTATCGTATATAATTTGCGATGAAGATTGCTTTTGAGAAGAGGAATATAAGATGTGTTACTTAAATGTGTGTATGTGTACAAAATAAAAATAAGCGTCAAATCAAAACTTATATACTTAAACTAACGTTGTTTCGTATATGCAATTTATAATCTTCTTAGAAGAATTTAATAATTTTAAATTTCAACATATTAATATTATGTAATTATAATTTATTGTATATTACATAATTATAATTTCAATATTATGGTCTTATTTTAATATTATAATTGTCATCTCAAGAATATATAATTATTTAATTCTACTTTAAGAAAATTATAATCTTTGATTTAAAAATGTTATCTTCTATCTAACATTGTTTCTTTTCCATTCGAGAAAATTAAATCTTAAATCATAAGAATATATTTTTCTCGATTGAACTAAAATGGCTTCATTCAAGCAAGCAATTATATTTTTTCTTTAATTAACGCAATATAATTTCATTTCAAGATCTCCATGTTTAAAACTAAATAAATTTTCAAAACAAGAATGTCCTTTTTTTCTGTGTGTATACGTGCATACACGCAACACTTAATTATTATTTAAATACCATCCTTCAGATACATGTAAAAAATTTGTAAATATCACAAAAATATCTTCCGTACTTTATGATTCAATTATTTTTTATACCCATATGTGCATTATTATTGATCACTTATTGGCAATCTCATTTGTAATCTCATTTGTAATAACTAATCAAAATTTCAAGAAAAACTTAATTTAACGTCCGACGTTTGATGTTTAATGAAGGCGCATTCTTGCTAGTCACGCTATGAATACAATCTGCATGCCTAGTGAAATTAAGCGCATCGAAAATTAGTAAGGCGGGCTAAGCACTTTGAGAGAAATCCTTTCGCCGATACGCACGAATAAACATCGAGTAAAGTCAGTTTTTTATAGTAATCGAGAGAGTATCTAAAGTTTCAATTGATCATATTGTCGAAAGACGTCGAGCCTATAAGAATAATCTTGCTACGAAATTGAAGAGGAAGAAAGGGAAGAGGTATACATTTTATAGCTTTTAATTATTATTTGCGGTTTATAATTACACATCCAATTTAGAATAACGAAATATGGCCTGAAGCCACAGCTAAGTTTCGACTTTTACACGGCTTCATACAATTGAATAGGACTTCCTTCATTAAAATCGACATTATACCGAATGCGTTCCCGTCGTAAGAAAAATAAGACCAATCGATAACAAAACAAATGATTAAGAAAAATATATACGTAATGAAAATACGACAATTAAATCTCATACAATAATTGTTTCATGATGCAAGATGAAATATCTGATGTACGAGATATGTTGAAAAAATCAAAATAATGTTAAATTTCTAATTAACAGAATGTAGGGGGTAATTTAACTTAACAAGGTAATTTAATTTAATTTCCCTCGCTAAGGGAAATTTTCCAAGATCGATATCGATAAAAATTAACATATATCGAGATTCAATATTTTTCAATATTACAGCTTAGTTTTCTACGCATTCGCGCAAATTGATGTTCGCGCGTTGCACGAATGCGCTGTTTAACGATTCTTACGATCAGTCTTGCAACACAATCGTACGGAGGAAAGTTCAAGTTAAACGGGGCGTATTTTTCTCGGCAGATTTGTTTCTGAAACAAGACAGAAGTGCGCCGGTCTAACCAGAGTCTAATACTATTAAGGAGTTGACGGGTATCCAGTTGGAAAACGAACGCTTCTAACAGTGTGTCGCAGTTGATCGAACTAACAACGTTCACTGAGACTTCCTTAGTTTAATAAGGTATCGACATTTTTGAGATTTCGAATTTTTAAGGAACAAGAAAAACATACAGAGAACACGGGAACCGGTTAATAAAATTACTTTGACAAATGCTGTATAATTATCTCAGCGTGCACGACTGCGATAAAACTTTCTCCAGTACACTTTAATATACATCTTTTGCAAAAAGTGCTTAATGAAAAGAAAAGTAAATAAAAATGTCATAAATAATTTTTAAAGTAAATATCCTGGAGATATTCTAAATATTGTTTTTAATTTAATTTTAGAAATTATAAATCTGAAATAAATCTTAAACTTATCTTAAACGCTTAATCAACATTTTAACATTTTTAATAGTCAATTAATTTTTAATTTAATTTAATTTTTAATAGTCAAGAGTGAAAGTAGTGAAAGCGAATCAGACAATAAATTCGATCTTTATTGGTTCTCGCTCGATATTGATCCGAACTGATTTAATCGATCGACTATGTACAGAGATGACTGGAGGCGGGACCAACATGGCGTATCACGGTCTTAGTCAACATGTCAATTTCGACATGATACCGGATCCTGGCGAGCGTTTTCGATTGGAAGAATTGATCGGTGAGGGTACATACGGCGAAGTATATGCCGCTTACGATAAAGAAACTGGCCACAAGGTAGCCGTGAAGATACTGGAGAACGTCGCTGACAATATCGAGGAAATCGAGGAAGAATATCTAGTGCTAAGAGACCTGAGCCTACATCCAAACATACCTCTTTTCCACGGTTTGTTTCTAAAGCGTGCGAAGCCTGGTCAGGAAGAGGATCAATTATGGTTCGTGATGGAGGTATCGTCATTAAAGTAAACGGTAAAATAAATCTATAGCGAAAGAAATATGAAATTTATGCATACATTTTCTGATAAAAGTAACTAAAGAAAATTACTACCCGGAAAGCTTTAATTATTATTGCTTGTAATGAATGTCAGACTATCCTTTGTATAAGCTGCTATTCGATATACACGCACGCACGCACGCACACATCTTCTTGGAGAAAAAAATAAATTAAGATATTATTGTACTTTCTAATAGCGCCAATGCAGTTTTATCGGTCGTCTATAATTCCGCAAATTAATTTATTAGTTTTCCGAGGAAGCGGAAATATCGAGTTATGTTAAGAGCTAATTGCTTCGGTTTCAGCTGTGCACCGGAGGCTCCGTAACCGATCTCGTGCAAGGTGTCAAAAAACGCGGCAGTCGTCTAACGGATCATCAAATAGCTTACATCTTGAGGGAGACGGTCGAGGCTCTGATCTTTCTGCATAGTAATCACTGCATGCATCGCGACGTGAAGGGTCATAACATTCTGCTCACTGAAGAAGCGCGTGTCAAATTGGTCGATTTCGGCGTGTCCTCGCATCTGGCCGCGACTCTCGCCAGGAAAAATACATCTGTCGGGACACCGTACTGGATGGCGCCAGAGGTAAGCTAAGGAGTTCATTGCCTTCGGAAGTGAAAATTTTCTAGTAAATTGAAGTGCCGCGAATAATGCATGTTGAGAATCGAGCGACCTACATCCGCCTCGATTGAAGAAAACAAATCTTTTGATTACGGAAGTACAGATTTTTCAATAAAAATACAAAATTGCAATCTTTCCGATTACATAAAAAAAAAAAAAAAAAAAAAACAGGTGATAGCTTGCGAGCAGCAATTGGACTCCTCGTATGATTCGCGCTGTGACGTCTGGTCGATCGGCATCACCGCCATCGAGTTAGCCGAGGGCGATCCTCCATTGTCGGAATTGCACCCCATGCGAGCGCTCTTTCAAATCCCGAGAAATCCTCCGCCCTCCCTGAAGAATCCGGACATCTATTCGCCGGAATTGACGGATTTCATAGCCGAATGCCTGGTGAAGGATCTCGAGCATCGACCGTTCGCGAGCGAATTGAGGGAGCATCCGCTATTGTCGAGTGTGGAGCCGATCGTGGAGAAGATCAGGGGGCAATTGAGGGAAGAGATACGTAGACAGAGAGCGGAGGGTCGAACTCATCGGCAGCCGGAGGTGACTACGAAACATGGCAAATTGAAGACGGACCGCAAGACGAGACCGGAGAAGATGTATATGGACGATCTGGCGGCGCTCGACATGCTGTCGGAAGAAGCTATTGTCGATCAATTGCAGCACAGATACGAGCAAGCGCAGATATACACGTATATCGGCGATATACTGGTTGCGGTTAATCCTTTCACCAATCTGGGTTTATACACTGGTATCGTAAGTACTCCTCTCGTATTAAACGAATGGCTATATTTAAGCATACACAGAAAAAAATGTAAGTGTCAAAACTTATATAATTAAACTAACGGGTTCATTGTTTCGTATATACGCAACAATTTATAATCTTCTTGGAAGAATTTAATTATTTTAAATTTCAATATTATAGTCTTATTTTAATATTGTAATTGTCACCTCGAGAATATATAATTATTTGATTCTACTTTAAGAAAATTATCATTTTAATTTAAAAATGTTATTTTCTATCCAACATTGTTTCTTTTCCATTCGAAAAAATCTTAAAACATAAGAATATATTTTTCGCAATTGAACTATATAAAATGGCTTTATTCAAGCAATTATATTTTTCTTTAATTAACGTGACATAATCTCATTTCAAGATTTCCATGTCAAAACTAAATATATTTTCAAAACAAGAATGTCCTTTTTTTCTGTGTAGATGAGTCAGACTATGTGATGGGACATGATAATCAACAATACATTGATATAAATATTATTATAGCAAATATTATTATTAATCATCGTTATTAATCGTTATGTCACAATCTGATGTAAAAATAATGGCTATTATTTTATTATTAATTTTATACGTAATAAAAATAAATGCATTCCTTTAGGAGCAAAAACGATACAAGGGTCAAGCGAGATCGGATAATCCTCCGCATATATTCGCGGTCGCCGATGCCGCGTATCAAGCGCTGCTTCATCAACGTCAGAACCAGGCAATAGTTATTAGCGGTGAATCGGGCGCCGGGAAGACGGAAAGCGCAAATTTACTATTGAAACAGCTCGTCTATCTCAGCAAGGCGCCAAATCGCAACCTCGAAGAGAGGATACTTCAGATAAATCCTATAATGGAGGCTTTCGGAAACGCGACGACCGGAATAAACGCCAATTCCTCCAGATTCGGTAAATACCTGGATCTAACAATGACGAAGGGTGGAAAGGTGACCGGTGCACGGATCTCGGTATACCTATTGGAACAATCACGCGTGATCGCTCAAGCTGAGTATGTTTTCGAAAAAAAAAAAAAAAAAAAAAAAAAAACAAAGAAACGAAAAAACAAAAAGAGTTTTTAATTCCACAGCCAACGAACAAAAATGTTGTTACTTTTCAGGGGAGAGCGAAACTTTCACATCTTCTATTACATGTACGACGGCTTGGAGGCGGACAATCGCCTCTCGGAATTTTATCTCGACCCTACGCTTCGAAAGTATCATCGATATCTCACGCATTATAGTCACACATCGCAGACGCACATCGACAAATTCCAGCAACTCAAGATGGGTTTCAAGGTGCTCGGATTTCACGACAGCGAGGTAGACACGGTGTATCGAGTTTTAGCCGCTATACTCCATCTAGGTGACATTGAGTTCGCCGAGGTGGCAAGCCAAGACAATACCGACAATAAGAGCAGAGTCATCGATCCTATTCCGTTACACAGAGGTAAAATTTCTCTCATGTCTCTTCTCGCTTTGATATATTTATTAATTGCGATATAATAATTAAAATTAATTGATAAAATGCTTATATTAACGCGTTAATAATCTCGGTATAAGAATATCATGGTCGATTACGTGCTCCGATAATAGAGGCGCTCCGCTTTCAGTTTCGAAGCTGCTCGGCGTCGAACAAAACGATCTCCTGGAAGCCCTGACATCAAACTCGGTAATGACCAGAGGCGAGACAATTACGCGAAACAATACGGTGGCCGAAGCTCGTGCGGCGCGCGACGCAATGGCCAAGGGTCTCTACGGTCGACTCTTCGATTGGATGGTCAACCAGATCAATTGTTTGCTGTGCTTCAGCCGCTCGCCGAATTACGAGCCGCTGGCGATCGGGCTGCTCGACATCTTTGGCTTCGAGAACTTCCCCAGGAACTCGTTCGAGCAGCTCTGCATCAACATCGCCAACGAGCAGATACAATACTACTTCAATCAGCATATTTTCACTTGGGAGCAACAGGAATACATGGCCGAGGGAATACCCGTCGATCTCGTTGAATTCTCTGATAACAGACCGGTCCTCGACATGTTACTCAGCAAGCCCATGGGACTCTTGGCGCTTCTGGACGAGGAGAGTCGGTTTCCCAGAGCGACCAATCGATCGCTGATCGGTGAGTATTTCAGAAGCGTTATTCTACAAATGTATTTGCGTTACATTGCTTCAGAAATTATTTCCAAACACATTAAGGATGTTTTGTATCTATTTTCAAAATATTGAGAATTTAATGAAAATTGTACAGAATGTCCTTACATATGTATTTAGAATCTTCGGTACAAATTTTAAATCGATTTACTAAAGTGTTCACAAGTTATAAGGATTTTAATTTGCACCGAATTAACATGTGTTCTTATGGGAAACGTATAACCACGTCGATTCAAATGACAAAAACACATGGAAATAATATTCAGAATTTGTTTAAAATTCGCAAAAGTTTAGATACAGAGGAAATATTTGGTCAAATAATATTATACAAGTACTAACTGGTTAAAAAGATATTAAATATAATTTAATGAAAGCCATGTATCTGTCATAAGACGAAATTTTCTGCCAAAAGTTAATCATTTCGATTGACAAAATTGGGAATATTTCAGTAAAAACGCAATAAATATTAAAAAATACATCTCTGCACTGTAGCCAAGATCAAATTGTAATATTCCACACAACTTCTCATACACCAAAGATGGATATTCGTCAATATTGATTTTCAGCTACTTTTTGCTGGGATTGTACATACAAAACATCCTTAAGACATTCAAATGTTTTTAATAAATAATAAACTCTTCTCTTTCATAAAATTATTTTTTATACAATGAAAATAATGTAATATTCATTTGGAGACTAACTATTTCAAGGGATAAATAATTGCTGCTTGCTATTCGTACATAATTTATTATATTTTAACTTATAAGTATTATCATCAAACAGTTTGCTATTTTTTCCGGCAGAAAAGTTTCACAATAATATCAAATCCAAGTTCTACGTACGTCCCAAATCGGACGCGGTCTGTTTCGCGATCCATCATTTTGCCGGACGTGTCGTCTATCAAGCCGAAGGATTTCTCGAGAAGAACAGAAACTTCTTGCCGCCCGAGGTCATTCAACTGGTGCGACAATCGCAGTACGATATGGTTCGTTTCCTGTTCCAATGCCCGATCACGAAAACTGGTAACCTGTACTCGGCGCTGCAGGGGAATGATTCGAGAAAATCGCAATCGAATCAGAATACAAAGGTATATGCGTATGTATTGAATTGATACTCGGTATATTTTGAAAATTTTTTTACAGATATTAACGACATAATAATGTCTCGTAGGAACGTTATTCTAGTCGAGGTTTAGCCTCACAATCCAGAGCTCAGCAGACGGTATCGACATACTTTCGATATTCCTTAATGGATCTATTACAAAAGATGGTGTCCGGTTCGCCTCAATTCGTTCGATGCATAAAGCCAAACGACTCGCGAAGTTCACGGTTCTTCGACAAGGACAAGGTTGTGAAGCAGCTGAGATACACCGGTGTCCTCGAGACAATACGTATACGACAAAATGGATTTTCTCATAGAATACCTTTCAACGAATTCCTTAAAAGGTACTCCAGAGTTGTGAAAAGAATGCGAAATATTTTCTTTTTCGAAACGTAAACTTTCATTTCATTTTCAACTATAAATCCATGAACTTTACAGATATTGCTTCCTCGCTTTCGGCTACGACGAGCGCGTGGTTGCCTCTCGGGATAATTGTCGTCTTCTTCTGATACGTTTAAAGATGGATGGCTGGGCATTGGGCAAAACAAAAGTCTTCTTAAAGTACTATCACGTCGAATTTCTCTCAAAGTTATACGAGGAGCAACTGAGGAAGATCATTATGGTTCAAGCATGCGTTCGACGCTGGCTCGCAAAAATCAAGTTCAAGAAGCAAAAGTGGCAATTTGCCGCATCGGCTGTAACGTTACAACGTCATGTCCGTGGCTGGCTATCCCGGAAACGAACGGGAGAAATGCTGGCTCAAAAACGCGCGGAAGAAAATATGGCGTTCGATTTCACGTCGAGTCAGTTTAATTTTTATCTCCTGATAATAATAAATAATTACTTAAACTTTCCATTTATTTTAATTTTTCTCTGCAGACGAGATGAAACGTAGAGCACAGGAAAATGTGGACGTCAATAATCGCGAGAAGCAACGACAAGTATGTAAAAATCTAAAAAAAGACGACGCCGCGATTATCATACAAAGTCGTATGTATTATAAGTTACATGAAAGTTTTTTGTAATCGGCGGCCATAAATGTTGCAATTGGACTGTTTTTAGATTTTCGAGGCTATACCATCCGCAAACGCTTTGGATACGAGCTGGAGGAACGTTTCAAGAGGATTTTAAACAATTACGACAACATATATGACGGCCACAAGGCGTTGTTACGCGAAGGACTGAAACACGAAGACGCGGCTCTTATCGTTCAGAGATGGTATAAAAAAGAGGAGAGAGTGGTCAGAAAGAAACCAATCGCGAAGGATCCCATGCATCCTAAACTACGGCAAGCGGATCTAATCCAGTTCTCTCAAAATGTAAGATTGCTCGCTAAAATACGCTGAAAATTTATTTGTCTAAAAAATTGCTTTTACTCGAGGTTAATTGTAATCTCCTTATTTGATATTATACGGAAACCGTACTAATGTCGTCAACAGCCTTAATTTGATCAAGTTATTAGTCGTTATATTTAGACGCTTTCCTCCCCTTGTTATAGGTACACATGAAAAATCAAGAAGTGCACAAAAATCTGCGTCGCAACAAACCCGGTGTCAGATTGAGCGACATTGAGGAACCGCCTTTGGATTACGTTCGCCCCGAAGGATTCAATATGGTGCAGTCGATATTGCATTATCGCAGCGGAACGCAGCCGGATGAAGAAGACAGCGTCAAGTATTACCGGGATCTAAAAGAGGAGATGAGCAGGTATATATATATATATGTAAATCAAAAGGGCGCCGCTTTCGCTGCTTCGATTGAGTGTCGCGAACAAACCGGAAATTTACATATTCAATTTTCGAATGCTTCTGGCACTCGCATCGCAAGTGGTTCGGAATTCGAAGACGACGAAGTTGGCTGGGACTTACCGTTGATACGGCTAGAAAATGACCTTCGCACATCGTCGAGGTATATCGTAAACTTGTGATCGACTGCATCCACACTAGCTAGTTTATTTTGGAGTTAGTTATTCTCACCGTTATATTTAAGAGTAGGCATTTCAGAAAGAGTCCCCAAAATATATCTCTGAATCTCTGTAGAAATTTATCACACTTTCTTTTACAATTTCTGCGAAAATTAAAAAATTCCAAATCATATTATATTTTTATTTTCCATCAATTTTATTTTATTTCAGAGCTGATCAAAAGTTTAAAGTTTTTTTAACTATCGTATATTGTATTTGACTTTGATGCTCCGATTAGATATTTATATCGAGATATAATGAGATTATGATTACGTTAATATAGGAATCGGAGCAACCAGATTCTGGAAGTGAATGCCGAGAGAAGAGATCGTGCGGCTCAAGGCGATTTTGCGGTAGCACCGGAGCAGCATCTGTCAAACATTTGGCACAAAGCCCTAAGACATTCGTCCGATCGACGCGAGAACGAGAGCTCCAAGAAAAATGTCAAGTAAGAAATGCGCCGCGAATAAATGCCGTGCTATTTTATGTATTTTTTTACGTATTATTATTTTTAACGAATAATGCGTTTTTGGTTCTGTTTAATTTGCAATGGTTAAGTCTCGCGTAAATTTAATTACAATTTATTTTTTTTCTATTCAAGATATATAAAACAAAATCGATGTTCTTTACTAACCTTTCCATTTGCGATGATAATGTAATTAATTTATGTAATATAATTTGTTAATTTTACATCAAACGCGTTCCAATTCTAATATTCTATAATTTCAATTCTAATATTCTATAATCTATCTGTATATATGATATAATAATACAAAATTCTAATGACGAAAATTAAATAATAATATGCAATTTTAACAATTGAAATCAAATTGCATCGTATTTTAATGAATATTTAATAATCTTGCATTTATGTCTATGCATTGCCAGAAACATGATGGCAAATTTCCAGGTAAAGTCATAAATTTATACCGTTGTCAGAGGACTTGTCTACTCCTTAATAGCCTTGTATATCTCGTTATACTTTTATAAAACTCGAGTTATTAGTATCAAACTAATATTTAACACAAACCCAAAATACTTAATTATTAATAATCGAGAAAAGGTGACACATAAAAAGTTTCCTCTTTAAACAGCTTCCTTGCAAAAGTTTTAATCTTTTTTAAACATCTCCCCTCTTCGAAGTTTTTTCTAAAAGGAAATTGAATTAAAAAATGCATCCATCTTCTTCCAGTACAAGGATTAATGAGCTGCATAACAACAACCTGCAATCACACGCAGACGGACAACGTGCAAGCGACTCTCCGCATATCCACGATTCATCTGGCCTACGATTCACAATCGACAATCGATGCAATGCCATAAACGAACAACGGAATACCCTAAATGGACAGAATCTCGCCAACAATCATCATAATCTCATTAACGAGCGGCACACATCGATTAACGGCTGTAATAACCAACCTCATTGTAAAATAAGTAATGGCGTTATAACGAGCCAAATAAAGATCCCGAATACGGAACAGTCAACTAACGACCTATCGAGTCAAGACAAGCCAGAGAGGCCATCGGATCATAAACAAAATGGTTATCCAACGAAAAATCACGAGAATAACGTGGATCATAAGAACGGTATTAATCGGTTAACGAATGGGAAATCGGATCAGGAACTCCAGAAAGATAATTTTCATATCGCCGCTAATCTCAGACAACTTTTAAGGCCGACTGTGATCGAGAAACGGCAGGAGAGCGCCAAGGTCGAGTACGATGCTGAGGACATTAATGGCCCCTACAATTTTAGACAGCTTCTAAGGCCGACCGAATACCTCCCAACGGAATCTCTAAGGAAGAGAAAAGGAGGACTCGTTTCCAACGGAGTGCCACTGCCGAAAGACAAAGTTCCGGAGAAACACGTTAAGAGAAGAGCGCCGTTGGCACCGACCCAAAATAGACTGGTCAACGGAAAGAAGTGATGTTACCTTGTATTATTCAGTGGATGTATTCATTTCCGAGAGATTTGACTTGACGAAAGATGAATGAGTATCATCTGACATATAAATCGTGATGATTAATACTGTAATATATCGAAAATTTCCCTCGTTAAACCTCCTCCCGATATGTATATACAAGCTAAGAGAGATTTCACTATTATTGCCATTAATACGAAAGAAAAAAGGTGCAACTTGAATTCCGTTACGATATACAGAAGATAGTAGTTGTAGTATATATGATACACTGCGCATATAGAATGCAATTTTAATAATCGATAAAAGAACATTTCACATTAATTTGGGCGGAAATAATATGATATATATACATATATGCATGCGAAAGTCGGTACAATATCTAACATGACACGCGAATTAAGCATAAAATGCAAATAATCTCCAACGGAAATATTAGTACTTTATATGCAGCAAATATATTATAATGCATTCGTGGCATGAAATTGCTCGATTCTTTTAAGAGTAGAGAAGATAAAGAAAGAGTTCCGCATTTACATATATATACATTTTCTCTTTTCATATAAAAGTACAATACCATGCGCTATATAATAAAGTTGCATGATTTCAAAGTTTAAAAAGTTTTTCTTTAGCTAATCACAATATGCATTTGCCGAATAACGTTTGCGTAATAGTAGAAACAAGATATATTTCACGCTGCTTTATTTAGACGGAAAGAGACGATAGCACTTATAATTATATATTTGTTTTATACCAAATTTTTAGTAGAAATAGCTAGTTTTATCATATAAGCGTATTTATACTTGCGGCAAAGTGATGTGAAACAATATTATTGCGACAGAAAAAAAAAATAAACTCTCTAAAAGTGAATCAGTGTATTATCACTGAAAAACAGTAAATAGTCATTGATTACAGCAGTTATAAGTACTGCACTGTAAATCAGTGATATTTTATTCAAAGAACCAGTTAATAATTTTGACTGTTTCAATCAGTAATATTTCTCAATATCAGTAATATTTCTTTCGTTATTGTCAGTAATATTAAACTATAATTCATCTCTCTATCCATTTTATATAAAATTAAAAATTTTATTTATATTTACTAAATATTTATTATAATAAAAGTTTTATTTTATTTATATTACATACATATTGAATTTTATTTAACGTTATTTTAAATAGATAACGAACAAATAATTTTCATTAAGTCGCCAGACATTTATTTGTCCGACTTATAAAGATCGATTTAATATCTAAAGCCTCTCTATTGAGATTGTATCAGAAATTAAATCGAAGTAATACTTTTAATTTTAAATGTCGCTCTTTGCAAACTTTATATAATTCTTGTAACTAAAATTAAATACGAGAGAGATAACGATAAACGAACGAATTAGCGGTTTACGAATTACTGGTTTAAAGTGAAATTTACTGATTCACTTTTACAGTGAATTTTATTTCAACTGACCATAATCAGTGAGATATAAGATAAAATAACAAAAAAAGCGTTTTTACGAAGATCAGTAAAATACTCACTGATTTTCAGTGAAATCTTATTTTACTGTTTAAATTATGATATTTTCACTGATTCACTTTTAGAGAGTATGTTTAAGTCTAATATAATTTATTACTATCTTGTTAATGTATCAGAATAAGCACGCATCTAGTACTAGTCATATCTAGCTTTATTTAAATCTCAAGCGTCCACTATCAATGTAGATACAAAAAAAAGAATAAAAAATATGCTTGTCAAATATTTATACAATAATTTATCGGCAAACAGAGAGCTTACGTACATACTAAGTAAATGATCGTAATTGTTGAGTCATAAATTTCCAATTCATTTATCCTAAAAGTATATATCCGATAAATCACCCTCCGATTAAATTTATCTCCCGCAACGAGTACGCGCTCCAATCGATACTTATTTCGTTCGATCAATGATTTTTTTTATCTAATCTTTTTTTATCTAATTTTTTTATCTAATCAAATTTATAGACAAATCACTCCTTATAGCTCAACATATCGTCGATTCCTGAAAACGAGTTTATTTTGTTAAGGATGTTTTGTTTGTACAATCCCAGCAAAAAGTAACTGAAAATCAATATTGATGAATATCCACTTTTAGTGTATTTTGAGTATGAGAAGTTATGTGGAATTACAATTTGATTTTAGCTACGGTGCAAAGATGTATTTTTTAATATTTATTGCGTTTTTATTGAAATATTCCAAATTTTGTTAATCGAAATGATTAACTTTTGGCAGAGAATTTCGCCTTGTGACAGATACATGGCTTTCATTAAATTATATTTAATATCTTTTTAACCAGTTAATACTTGTATAATATTATTTAACCAAATATTTCTATATCTAAACTTTTGCGAATTTTAAACAAATTCTGAATATTATTTTCATGTGTTTTTGTCATTTGAATCGACGTGGTTATACGTTTCCCATAAGAATACATGTTAGGTTTTCATGTTAATTCGGTGCAAATTAAAATCCTTACAACTTGTGAACGCTTTAGTGAATCGATTTAAAAATTGTACTAAAGATTCTGAACATATGTAAGGACATTCTGTACAATTTTCTCTCAATATTATGAAAATAGGTACAAAACATCCTTGAATACTAAATGACAGAAACGTGACTCGAGCTCGAGGGTGCATTATCGACCAATTTTGCCGTTCGCAGTCTTCTCTCGATGAGGAGAAAACGTTCGCTTTTCTACGTCGCGACTCCCGTCGCGCAATTCCGGATTACTGGCGGCCGTCAACGACGCCGGCGTCGACGAAGGGGCCTCGGCGAGGAGCCGAGAGATGGCCGGGGGTTGCGGCGTCGCGACGCCCGGCGCTCCGGCGACCGGCGCCGACGGCGGTAGTTGCGTCGGCGTCGTCGTCGTCGTCGCGCGACGTCGCCCTCGTCAGAGATACCGGCATACGGGGTTCCATTGGGGCTGGGCCGTAGGGTGGGGGGAGACGTCCGGTGGCCAGCAGCGACGCGGCGGGGGCGAGGGTGGCAGTCGTGCCGGGCACGCGGGCGGGGGTAGGAGGGGTGCAACAAACCCTCTCGCCTCGGCTCGAGTCTACGGAGCACGGAGTTGTGTTCGAATCATGGCGACACCCGACCCCGTAGACCCGGCCACCCTAGAGATTAAGACCCGTAGCATAGAACAGACACTACTCCCGCTAGTGAAGCAGGTAAGACGTGTTTCCGCGTGAAAACGCGGCGACCGGAGAGTTTTCGTTCGCACCGGCGGCGCGCCGTCTCTTTCTTGTCTGTCTCTTTCTGTCTGCATCCCCTTTACTCTCTCTCTCTCTCTCTCTCTCTTTTACGCTGTCTCTCTCTCTCTCTTTCTCCCTGCCATCTCTCTCTCTTTCATTCGCGTATCTCCGTCCCTGTCTCTCGCTCGTTTTCGATCCGCGTTCCTCTCGCGTACCCGACATACCCACGTCACGCATACTCGCGTCTCTCTCGCATTTTTCTTCTCCCTAATAAGGATCGAGGTATATTTTTCCAAACCCAAGAGTCACTCGTGATGCTCCCGTTTTCTCTCGCTATCTCGATCCCGCGTGCAACGTATACAACGCGACGGGAAAGTCGGGACGCGTAGTGTCGCGCGCGATCAACGTTACGAGACTTCGGAGCAAGACGATGAAATGGGTGCGCGTGCACCCACGGGAAGCAAAGCCGATCTCCTGGAGATTGGAAAAACGAGACGGAAGAGAAGAGCTCGCGCGCGTCGCGCATCACGCTCCGTCATGACGCCACTATACCAAATTAGAAACAGTCGCGGCAATTTTCACGCTTTCGCTCTCGATCGTAGAAATTTCGTCCTCGTCTCGTGCATACTCCGTTTACTCGCAAACGTCAAATCGGCCCCAAGCGACGCTCTCCCAAGCGCATCCGAACGATGCTATTTCGCGAACTTTGACAATTCCGATGCCAGGGCGTGCGTTTAATACGTCCAACTTGTCACGAAACACGCGCCGCATTCGCCGAGAGTAACGGATATTTCGGTGGTCCACCGTCTCTGTCGTTCTCTTAACCCTCTCGTCTCTCTCTCCCTCCTTCGCTCTGTTCTGTCTCTCTCTCTCTCTCTCTCTCTCTCTCTCTTTCTCTCTCTCACGCTCTCTGCACATTTCTCTTTTTCTTCCACGTTGCTCATTTCGACTCTTGTGGCGCACGCTCACCTCACGCTGCTTGTCGGCGCCGACACTGGTATTTTCGTGGAATTACGTCGAATTTACGCTGCACCCTCGTTGCATAATCACCGGCACGTGCGCGATGCACGCACGTGAGCCGCATACAAGGATTTGCGGACCGCGGGTCAAAGGCCTCCAAACGACCGTCCGCGATCAAAGAATAGATTCCGCTCTCCTTCCCGGTTTTCGCAGCACGATCGAGGAATTTTACAACGATGTGAAAAAGATGTGCGACACGCAAACTTGGAAATTAGAAATTTCTTGCTTCGTTTTTTTAAAAAGGTTCCATTGTTTGATTAAAAAACTCTATTAATTAATTCCCTTAGATTTTCATTCGATTAACATTACCCGGTACATTATACGAATACATTGATATTTATTCATAAAATTGCAAAATGTGAATCGATATTCGTCTCATGTATCATTTTCCAACATTCAAAATTTTTATTTTTACTTTACAGAAGACTATTGTACTAATTTATTGTCGTTAAATTGTCATTAAATTTTCTCGTATCTACATGGGGAGGTTTAAATTAACTGCTATTTCCTTCTGGAATATGTAGCTGAGATATATCTTTCGACAAAAACGTCTATGAATGCACAATGCACCACCGCATGCAGTAGACCGCACTCACGTACATAATACGTATATACATACATATATATGCACGCATATATGGATAATAGACTCGGAATTATGAACGTTCAATTAAATGGCGTACATTTCACATATATATATTGAGACTCGTTTTTCACACACATATACACGCATTACCTGATGAAACACATTACAGCAAATTATCATCAACCGCCGATACATGTCATCAAAATGTGAAAATTAATTGACATAACGAATGCATCAGATGAAAATTTTGTGATGTATATAATCAATGTGACACATATCGATGGATCATTGAGAGAGGAATGAGAAAATTAAGAAATAAAAAAATATAGATTATCAATAAAAAAAAAATAAATTTCACTTCTCGTTAAGAGAATTTATCGCGCTTCAAAGAGAGGAGACGCGAAATATCTCCAAAATTATTTTTCTTACTAACGAACCTACCCTTTCCTAACATTGACGAGACCTTTGAGGAGGCCGCATCTCATTTCGCGGCTAATTTCGTCGAATAAAACAAGAGATGAGATCTAAAGATTCACACTTTCGTCGCGTCGTCAAAGCCAACCGCGTCTAAAACAAGGGATTACGCGGGCCGATTTCTGCCGCCGTTTTCGCCGGACCCATCGCGTCTCGCGCAAACAATCCCGAAGAGAGTAAAGGAAAGAGTAAGAAGGATCGAGTTCCTCGGTCTCTCTGTGTCCAGAGAAATTGTTATGCCCGAGACACGCGAGAAAATAAACGAGACGCCAAGCCAGACCGAGCGAATCCTCTTTCTCTCTCCTCGCTTCTCATCCAAGGTTCCACTTAATTTAACAGTCGTTGATCCGACACCCCGCACCAATTTCCAGCCAACTAGCTTAGAGATGGTCACGATAGCGCTGCTAAAAAAAAAGACTGCGGAGTGCAAAACGGGGAGAATAAGGAACGATAAAGAGTCGATAGTTTCGCGAGCGCGCATCGATCGAATCTCACCTGGCGCGATAATTATCATCGATAAAACGGGAACGCGCGGCAGCGAGACTGGAGTAAAGAGAAGAACGAAAAGGAAATAGATGCGGGTTATTTCGAGAGTGTGGAAGAAGGGTGCCGATCGCCCGCTCGTGGTCGACCTTCGTGTCGTGTT